AATATGGCATTCGGATGAATCCGAATGAATCAAAATATGGCATTCGGAATTCCGAATGAATCGAAATATGGCCTTATTTGCAGCATGAATTCTAAAAATAAGTTTATTTTGAATTTTAATAAACTAAACGTTCACCAAAAAACTTTAGTGAGAAAAATCGAAAAAACGAACTACAAACATATTAACGCCAAACATTCGGTAAAATTTATAGAATATTGTAAATATATATATATATATATATATATATATATATATATATATATATATATATATATATATATATATATAAACAGATGCTAAATGAGAAGATGGATGGATGAATGAACGAGAGAAACAATGAGCATTTATACATGTATAATGTACAATATACACGAACACACACACACACACGCATGTATATATATAGTGGCAATCAATTAAACATCTTTAATTGAGAATGCCATAAAGAGTTCACCAGCGAGAGAAGAAACTGAACGAGAACGCCAAGAACGAAGTAACTTCAATCAGGGAAAGAAATACATATTAATTAACCAATTAAAATAACTAAGGAACCGTCGAAACAATACCGCGCATCAAATCTAATAAATGTTAATAAACCAGCCTGTTTGTGCGTGCACTGTTCACAAACCAATGATAATGGTGATGGTGGTGGAAATGGTGATTTACGGTGATGACGATGAAGATATGAAAGCGCTAAGCAGTCTAACATAGACCCTGAGTAATGTTCAACTTTCATCATAAGATGTGGCAGCAGCTTCCAGCCAACTAACTAACTTCTGTTCATTAGATCAGCGGAGTCCACAGTCATCATCACCTTTACTATAATTATCATCATCGTCGCCGTTGTCATCGTTATTTCATAATGTATACACATGACAAGACTATGCTGCTGCTGCTGATGATGATGATATTTTTGTTGTTGATGATGATGATGGTAATCAGTGGTGATGATTACCAGGGTTGTTGTTTGTTTGGTGACAGAGAAAAAATAAAAATTGTTTATGATGGTTGTTATAAGGAGGGCGATGAACTTGAACTCATTATGCTAGTTAATGCCATAATCATAAGCTGTATATACAATATCTATACATACGTCTATCTACCTATCATTATTATTATTATCTTCATTGTTAACAAGACCACGTGACAGGCACGCAACACAGAGAACGCAATCTAAACAATGGTAAGTGAATGAGTGAATGAATGAATGAATGAATGAATGAATGAATGGATGGATTGATAGATGGATGAATGGATGGATAAGCTAACATAACTTATGATAAAACTATTGATCACAATAATAACAATAACAATATTAACAATAATAATAATAATAATGAACTATGTTCATCATATAGACAAACATCCTAACAAAGACAATAAAATAAATAGAAAAAAAAGAATAATAAACTATAGCAATATATTGTTAGTAAATCAGCTAGCCGTCAGAGCTAAACAATGTCAACTGTTACATCATTCTATGTTAATACACGCAGAGCAATCAGGCTATGCAGAGCACAGTGCATTGCTCAATCTTATGTACAATTCTGATTACGGTTGCACGCAATTGCAGCCACGGTTGGAAGCACTTTCTTGAAGTCATCCAAGTTTCACAGCACGTAAATACGAGTGGAGACGAGACATTATGAAAGAGCGGCTACCAAGTCTTTCACACGTCGTCTAATAACCTGTGTTCTAGAATATTCTTCACTGAAAGTCAAACAACTAAATTGTTCAAATATTTAACATAAATTTGAAAACAAGACAAATTGTTTTGAAATGAATCATTCTGACAGAAGTTTCTCAAGCATTACAGGACGTCTTGGCTCATTCATGATTCTGTTGTTGCTGTTGTTGCTGCTGTTGTTGTTGTTGTTGCACATGAGTATGTTGCTGAGGATATGATTGTTGTTGAGAGCAGTAGAAGAAGCAGAAGCAAAACTATCAAACTTCTTATTCACTTCCATATCAGAGGTAAAGAATAATTCGGGAGATATACTTGATAAATTGTTCCTATTGTTCATCCCTTGTTGGGAGAATTGTTGCAACTGCTGCTGCTGATGTTTCGTTTGTTGCAGTAGTTGTTGGTGATGAGGCTGTTGAACCATTTGCTGATGTATTTGTGGCTGTGAATGTTGTTGCTGGTAGAATTGTTGTTGTTGTTGAATGTTGTGGCCTGGCACTTGTGATGGTTGCATTGGCTCTGCTTGTCTTGCACTACATTCATCTGATAATATTTTAAAATGAATAACTATTAAAAAATAAATCATTCAAAGTGGTGGTAACAAAAAATAATAAAAAAATGTTTTCGTAATTTAAAATAACATACATGACAAAACCAAACACGTAATGTTTGCATTAGTAAAACCACAATTTTTAATTGACAAACAAATAAAATCCAAAGACAAACAGACAGATTTACTGACATAAGCATATGCAGACATAAATACAAACATGCACGTATGAACAGGTATGTGAAAACATGTATGTATGAACGAACAGGTGTGAGAACATGTATGTACGGATGAACAGGCCACGTGAGAGTATAAATGTTTGAACATTTATTTATAAATTTGTATGTGCGTGAACATGCATATATGGGTAAATATGCATGTACGAACATGTTTGTGTGAACTTGCATGTGTGCCGTGAACGAACATGTACACAGAATACAATCATACCTTCTTCTCTTGAAAGAAATTCTGACAACTCGCCAATATCAGACATGGCATCGAGAATGTTGTTACTTCTTCTTGATGGATCAACATCATCCAAGCCTTCCGTGAAAGTGGCTAACAACTTTTCCAGTTCATCTTCTTCGATGTTGTTCATGTTTGGTTCATCAGGTCCAAACAAAACTTGACTGATGTCCAAGGAAGGTGTTTTTGAAGACGACAAATCTGAGTGTGCACCATCAAGTAGAGGTTGTTGCTGCTGTTGCTGCTGCAATGGCTTCTGCGAGAGTGGTTGTTGTGACTGCATCGGAAGCTGTTGCTGCTGTAGTTGTTGTTGGGGCCAAACGTTTTGCTGTGTTTGATTTATTGAAGATTGTTCAACTTGAACCGTTTGAGGTGATGGTCTTTGCAAAACCAATTGCTCGTTGTGTTGTTGCTGATGCTGTGGACGTTGTTGTTGCTGCTGATATTGTTGATGCTGTTGTATATGATGCTGTTGATGGTTTGGTGGATAGAAAGACATTTGTTGTGTTGCATTCTGCTTAATAATTTGTTGTTGTTGATGTTGCTGTTGAAGATGTTGATGTTGAAGTTGTTGATGTTGTTGTAGTACATTTGGCTGAACCTCAGACAAACGACTAGCATACATATTGGAATATGCTGAATTCGATGAAGAAAATTGTTGTTGTTGTGCAATGTGAGACTTGTAAGTCATGTGCTCCCGAGCTGGAGGATGGCATGGCTGGGCTGCTGATGTCTGCCTGTACATGAATTGTTGTTGGTGTGGGATAGATCTGTGGCTCATATGCTGGGCGCTGGCAGCTTGTGAACGATTGTGTATGATGTCCAATTGTGGAGATTGATGCTGTGCAGACTGTTGAGTGTAATGCTGAGGTGGTAGGTACTGTTGTTTTAAAACTGCGCTGTTGCTAATCAGCTCATCTGCATTCAAACTTGTAACCCTGTGATGTTGCTGGTGATCATGTTTCTTCATACTATAAGAAGGACTATGCATTGTGGATATTTCGTTTGGTAGGCCAACATACTGCTGTTGGTGTTGCAATGGGACTGATGGAGACTGTTGGTGAGGATTTGGCAAATGCGGTTGTTGTGTCACAATGAATTGCTGGTGATGTGGATTACTTCTATATGGCATGCTGTCACCTATATGACTCTGTTGCTGCTGCTGTTGGATATATATTTTGCGCTGCTGATGATGTTGCAATGGATCACTGCTGATATGATTGATGGGTGCTCCTTGGAAACCATTTGAATTATGCGGTTCATTTAATAAACCAGCAGAATTGTTTGACTCGTTGAAATCCATTTGGTGCTGTATGAACTGGTGCTGCTGAACTTGCTGCTGATGTGGCTGTTGTTGTTTTTGATGTAGGTGTTGTTGTAGATGATGTTGTTGCAACTTATGTTGTTGGAGTTGTAATTGTTGTTGATGTGGGGAACACTGGGCATCTTGTTTAAATTTCTTTGATTCAATAGTGTTGTCGCGATTGAGAATATCGTCAAGATCCTCCAAATCACGTACAGCTTTAACCTTCATCTTATCCAAGTCACCGTCAAAATTAGATGTTTCATCCAAACTCAAATTACCTTGTCTTGCAAACACTTTTGTGTCATTTAACGAATGCTGATGTTGCAATTTTGGCTGATGTGAAAACTTTATGAGATTGGAAACAGGAATATTAGTTGTAGTGTTTGAGACAATTGTTGCTGGCTGGCTGCTTGGTCCACTGTTCACCTTACTTCCGCTGCTGTTGTTTGCAGTTATCAATCTTTTGCTACCTGATGAGGATAAATCTGTAATGTGTGCATACACGTTATGAGCTATCAGGAAAGTATGTTTATAAGTGCACGTTTCAAAAACCGCATGCTAGCAACCCATCCAATGCAGATTTAATTTAAGAATTTTAGAAAAGTTTAACTTTTATCTTTCTTTATTCCTTTATCAAGCAAAACTGCTGTTTCATTACAGCATAAAGATTTACGGTAAAACATGAAAAAATTAACAACCTGTGTTTTGTCACATAAAAAACTACATCTCAAAAAATGTTGAATTACATATTATGCATAAATTGATGCACATACTGCCACACAGACAAACACAAACACAGGCACACACGTGTAGACAAGCACGCACACAGACAAACAGACGCGCATATAAACTGTCATAAACAAACGTGCACAAATACTCAAACAGACCTGCATGTGAAGTATTTTGGATCATCTGACTTCTTATCTGCAAAACTCCTTTCAACGCTTGTTTGGCATTCAATGTTGGAGTGGTGGGCGTCTTCACTAACGGAGTCGCTGGCTGAGACGATGAAGATGATGATGACGATGAGGATGAAGATGAGGATGAAGAGAAGGAGGAGGAAGAGGATGACGAGGATGCCGTCTCTTCCGTCAGCGATCTGTTTTAATAAAATTTTAAAATAGCAACCAGCTGTGTTTATTGAATTGTTAAATGCCATCAAATTTTATTCTCAGTCAAAAACTTTATATAATATAAATGTTGTAACAGATAGTACATGAGGTGCGTGAGCTTGAGCACACAGGTACACATGCACACTTGCACACACGCACACAACAAGAAGGCTGAGGTACCATAACAGCGTTAAACAGATTAAGATATCTAACACAAAAAACAATGATCAAGAAACCCCTTATTAAAATGTTCAAACATGCAGCTCATATATTAATACATAAAACTTCTTTTTGTTAGTATAAACAATTTATTAAAAACGGCTGTTTCAGCTGCAGTATCAGATAATAGAAATGTTTAGGAAATTTAATAAAGGGTAATGAAGCTTATATAAGCGAAAACATATCACCTGTTGTTGGTAATTACAAAATAATAAAAATACATAGCATTATACATGAAACTATTCCAAGGCATTAACAAATGATGGCATGGGATGCTGGATAGTTTTGGTGCATTTTGAATCCTGTCATCAGTACAACCAGTAACTTCAAATTTCTTTAATGCGATGTTCATAAATTTGCTGGACAGTTTAACTGGTGCAATAATAAACAAAACAGAAGAAATGACAAGCGATGATCATAAAATAACAGACCAAAACACTAACAGTGATCTGTGAGTATTGTCTGCGTTGTTGCCAGAGTTGATTTTCAAATTTAACTTTTGTATTGTTAGTGATTGTTTGGCACCTGACTTGTTCTTGCCGTTATCGTTTTTGTTGTTGTTGTTATTGTGAGGAGTTGCAGTGGCTTTTGTGACGTTGGCAACACTACTGATTGTTGAGGTAGAGTTTGCACTGTTAGTTGCACTGCTGCTGCTGCTTGCCAATGAGATGCTCGAACTGTTAGCAATGCTGCTGCCAGTGCTGCTGTTGTTGCTCTTAGAACAGGCTGAGGAGTTAGCCACTGAACTGCTGCTGTTGTTGCTGACGACCATGTTGTTGTTTGTGCTGTTGCTTACTCCAATGCCCGACGTGTTGTTGCTGCTATTGTCAGTCAGGTTTGCATTGTTGTAGAAAGCGACGCTGGCGGGAGATGATGTTGCGAATGAATTCCTGTTTGCGTTCTTGACATTGTTGAGGCTTGTTGAATGATGCTGGTGCAGGGCTTGAAGTGATCCAGGCACAGAACCTGACGGCCGGGCATTCAAAATCAATTTAATCACCAAACGTCAGTTCCTCACCTTCCTTTCCATCCCTACTATCAACACCACCGTCATTATCATTATCATCTCTACCATCACAACTAGTACAACCATCTCATATACAAAAACTAATACTACTACGACATAAACATCAACAATGGCAAGGTCTGTTTTACATAAAAACAGGTGTTGGACCTTAGAGCATGATAAAAATAATAATTCATAAATCAATTTCTTTAATTATTTTCGTTAGATATCAGGTTTCAATAAAGAGAGTGCATTTTACAAACAGTTTCACCTGCACACACAAACACACGCACGCACGACACACAAACACACACACACACTCATATATATATATATATATATATATAATATCAATAGTAACCCATGGCTAAGGTAGGAGATTTGATGGATTTGTTGAATCTGGGAGATATGGCTGGAGATAGGAGTGGACTGTTTGTGGTGACCGTGGGAGATTGTGCCACCTGGTGGGGGAGTGATTGATTGAGTGAGAGTGAGTGATTGACTGATTGGGTGAGTGAGTGAATGAGTGAGTTGATACAGGCAAAAAATTATTTTCCATATTATTTTTTCATCATTATAACTTTTTGTTCATCATTACCAGCACCATTACCATCGACACCATGGTGACAGTCATTTTTAAATAATTATTTGAGATTAAAGGCACTATGTACTATTGAACTTCTCTTTAAAAATTATTCGTCACCACGGATGCTGCACTATTCAGAACATGGATCAACATGTAAATTTCACATTAAGATTATTCAAATATCTACACATTTAAGTAGTCTAGATGCATATCTGTGTGTCAGTGCATAATAATAATAATAATAATAATAATAATAATAATAATAAATAATAATAATACAACAATCCTAATAAAGTATATCATTATTCTACATCCTATCCTTAAATCTTAATACAAAATATGCGTGCATGCCAACAAACATTACCATACAAATGGATTAAAAAACATCTAAATGTACACAAGCTTCTTCCATACATAACCATAAACAGTACTACAACTAAATTTAAAAGTCAAATGTTCAGTTAATCAGTTGTATAGAGAAGGTTGTGTGTGTTGCCTGTGTGTGTGTGTGTGTGTGTGTGTGTGTGTGTGTGTATGTATGTGTGTGTGCGTGCGTAATTAGATCAAAGTTGAAGGAGAATCTTTAATTTATGTTCCTTTCAAACAATAACAAGCCAGTTGAAATGACAAACATAAAAAAAATAAAAAAACACATCATCTAAAAATGGAAAAAAATATTCTTCTAACAGAAATGACGTTATTTAAACTAATACTTTGACTTTGATGAAATGTAAATTTACATTTCCATAAACGCAAACTGATAATTATTTCCCAGTGCTTTTCTTGCATGTTAGAAACAACCGGCATCCAGAATGGCAGATAGATGGCAGATGAATAGCCGAGTACATAAAAAACAAACAAATGAACAAACACATCAAGGGTTGTGCTATGAATACTTGAGTAGAGAAGGTTGTACACAGCCTTGCTTGCTCACTAGCTCAATTTTTATACACTTTGAAGCATGTGGTGTTTGAAATGATGATATTCAACTTTGATTAACATATTCGTTGATATGAAACAAAAAAAATCAAAGAAATATAAAATTAATAATTATTATCATGTCATTATTGGACAAATCTTTATGTCTAATTAACGTTTGAAGTGAATTAAATACCAAAAAACTACACACCAACAAACTTTTATTTTGGTGACTTTATTATAATTCAAGAAACAAATTCTTAGCTTTGTGAAAACTTTGTATCTCTATACTATTCAAAAATAAAAAGACATTCATCTGAGTCTTTAAAAATAAAAAAAATTAAATAAGAATCTTAAACATAACTAAGAATAAACTAAATTATTAAAGAAAGTAAAGAGAAATAAAATCCGGAAAATTAAAAAAATTCAACTCAGTGTAATTAATGCCTCTTAACTCTTGAAAGCATGTTTAATTAAAACAATAAAACACAAACTGTACCATCAGCAGAATGATGGCAAACTTAAGGTAATTCAGCGGCAGAACGGAAATGATTGCGAAGAAATTGATACACAACCTTCGGGAGTTGCAATGATACTATGCATTATTTTGAAAGAAAAGAGCTGCAAACTTTTAAAAACGACAACGAGAACGACGACGACGAGGAAGAGAGAGTGATGATGGAAAAACTTTACATTAATGATTTTATAACGAAAAGAGAAAAAATTTATTTAAAAAAAATATGTTTGAAAATTCTCTGAAAATTAATATTTATTATATTTTGTAATAAAAATTCAATAAAACATGGAATTCCATCAAAGAATACTTAATTACAAAATTTAACAAAAGCTTCTCATGGGGTAAAGCAAAATTGTTTTGGGCGCATACATTAAGAATTATTTATAATTCATTTTATTAAATTTTAATTCTGCTATCCTTTTTATCAATCCTTTCAAGAGCATATTTTTAATGCCGTCAATCACAACAGAAACCAGCCGCAAAACATGAACAAGCATAAACATAAATAAGCAAAATAAACGATTGGAATATAGCATAAACATATGTCAACAAAGCACTGACAAGGAGGCAGGCAGGCAGAATATTAACAATAAGTTAAATTGGAAAGTATTAACTTTTCTTAACCACACGAGCAGAAAGAATCAAGTATCTACATTTACAAAAAACACTTTGAAATTTTGATAAACGTTATTGTCATTATACTATAATAACTCATTGCAAAATGCAGTGGATGAGTGTAGTGAGGACTGAATCAAAAGGATTGTGGATTTTTGTGTTTCTTAACAACCAATGAAATCAGCACATCTCAGTAAATACAAGTTGTCCTCATAAAAAGTAAATGCCAAAGTAAGTGTGCATGTGCATTGTCAGGCTGCTAGCATACTTATACTGCATAACACTGTTTAAATGACGACTTCAAATGTCAAATATATTAATTATTACCTATGACCACAGCACAAAAACGAAAAATAAAACTAAGACATCAAAAAGAAACAGAAGCCAGCATGAAAAAATGAATGAGCACCTGAATGATAGATCCTCCAGTCATTGTCAGGTTTGATTTGCTCTTTGCATTCAACCAAAAGTTTTGTTTTGTTTCTTCATTCTTGTTTGAAACATTATTGTTGCCACTGTTGTTGGCATTGTTGTTGGTGGTGGTGATTGTGGCACTTTTATTGTTTTCAGCATCAGTGATCTCAATATCACTATTGATATTTTTGTTGCCTTTTGCACTTGGGAAGTCGGAATTAGTGTCACTGTTGTTGTTGCTATCTGTTGCTGTACTGTAATTTGAATTGATGTTGTTGACGGTGTTGTTGTTGTTGCTGCCATTGTTGTTCAAAAGTTGGCCCAATGTAATTTGGAAAGAAGAACGCTGAGGAGAATATAAATTGTTTATATTTGTGGATGTGGCAGGCCACACCATAGAAATAAATCATTAATTTTATTGCTTTACATTATAGCACATAACTTACATAATAACAATAACATTATGAAATAACTGCTTTGTTACTATTACATTGCAAAAATATCTCAAAAAGTTCATCAGCCTATGTACAAAGTATTTCATAACGTCTCAATTTGCTGAAAAAGATTATCAGAGAAAGTATCTCAAAACAATACCTAGACACAAACGTGAACAATTAAAGTTCGCTAAAATGAAAATTTTTGCTATTAAATTTGTTTGCAACTATATAATTTTAAAAGTAAACTAAAATTATTTGAAATAGAAAGGTTATGGTGTCGTCTAATAATTTCTACATAGTTCATTTATGTGCAGTGTAGTGCAGTGCATAAAGCAATGATTAATGACCACAACCGGCAGATAACATCAATTTCATTTACTCAATGATCACAACTATTCAATAATTCAACTCTCTCCCTATACATTTACACTCTAATTCGTTTTAGTTCCATCCATTATTTATGCAGTGGCAGCAGTGAATCAAGTTGTGTTACAAATAAGGTAAAAATTATTGTTCTCGGCATAAACCGTTGGCTACGATACGATATTATATCATAGATTATTTTAATCGAAAGATTCCTGTGTCGTAAAAAATTATTCGAAACTATCAAAACACGATATTACTTAATGCATTGCGGTTTTGAACAACCAAACAACAGCGTTATCAAATATTAATTTTATGAGCAACGTTATCATTAATTTTATGAACAACGAATGATAAGAACTGGTGTTAATAATGAGAGATGTAAATCAACTTTATCAACAAAAACAACATATTTTCTTCATAAAACATACAGCATCAATCATTGCTTGCTGCAATAGTTATCTTAATGAAGATCAGATCTTAACATTGAATCAAGCGCCTATACTCTCTGACTGTGCATATTTATTACAATTTCATCTGGAAACTCCCATTAATATAATTGTTGCATCATGTTTACCATCGTAGTCGTCCTCATCATTCCACTCATCAGCGTAACCAGTAAACATCATAACAAGAAAGGTATGTACTATTAAAGAATGTTTGCACGGGTTTTGTTGTTATCATAAGAAATCACTTACGGAGACAACAGCATTAGGGCATAAATCAACTTTCATCTGTTCTTCAAATTTTTTCAATGAGTTTTTGCCATCCAACTGTTTGTGATGAATTTCGTTTTTAGATAAAAATTGATAAGGAAACATAAGCTATAACAATTTATAAACAATAAGCCGCATATCAAATATCAGCTATGCAGTGTATGTTAACTCTACAACTAGACCTGTAGCAATTTCTTATTCCAACGTTTAAACAGAGTAAAAATAAAGCTCAGTTAAGACACCAGCCTTATTTGATACAAATTGTATAACTAAAAGTAAAATTCACTCAAAACAAATTTTTTGTTACTTAACTTTTAGATATACGCTTATAAGTTAACTTAATTTATTATGATTCTCTCATCAATATTTGTCAGAAGCATCAAAAACAGACATAGAATGGTGCCTGTAAACACACGTAAAACAACGCATCACACACACACATAGCATGTGACAGGCGTAGATCTCAGTGCAACCGAAACTGGTCATTGCAATACGGTGCTAGGCACTTTGCCGTTACACCATAGGGCCAAACAAGAGATTATATCAACAAAACTGGTCACATCAAAATTCATTGATGTAATGTTGGTCAATTTTTATTCACTCATGATATGATTGGTCCTTGGCACTTTTTACTTTCTCATTTCCTGTCTGATCAAATTTGAAATAAATCAAGAATAATTAATGCAATTCAAAATTGCTCAACTCAACATTTTAAACACATTGCAGCATTTCTAGCACCCACTAAATTTATATTTCTAACTACAACTAGTCACATTTACATCACCAACCACATCAAAAAGTACTAAAAGTTTTCAGATTTGTCATCCAGTCAAAATCTTTATTATGAAAATAACAGATGAACAGTTAAAATTATAAAAATCTGTCAAGAAGAAGATTAAATATGAAACCTCAGGAGACGCCAACATATATTCCAAAGATTTTCTCGCTGAAGTGTTGCTGTCATTAGAATTATTATTGCCGTTCTGTGCAGCAATGGAAACCACCGAGTTCGACGGATGGTTGACAGTCATGAGACTTGTTCGAACAACATGTGCAGACTTCAAACCCTGTTCATGTTTCTTAGATGTTGGACTAAGAAGAGCCTTCTGCTGTTTGTTAGCAGATGTCTTGTTATTTGTTCTTCCTTCTGTTCTCTTTACTTTATTGTTTTTATCAACTCTATCGTCCTTTTTTTGGGTGTCATCATTATTCTTATTGACGAAATCAGACTTATCAAGTTGCATCAATTCCTGTTGTATTTCGTTAATGGCCAAATTTTCATGTAAATTTATCGATCGACTCCTACTTGAAGATTTGCTAGCAAACAAATCAGCATTACTGGCACTTTCATTAGATGGGATGGACTGAGAGCCCATCCTGTTGCTTTCATCCGCAATGAACTTGATGAAAGCTTTGTTAGCATCGTTTGAGTTATGGATCAGTCTATCTATGTCATTGAAAGAAAGATCATTGGAAGACATGATAACGTGTTCCATCTGATTAACAATCACCATTGGATCTTCATCGGGCAACTCTTCTGTGGTCGTGTTGAGGTTTGGAGCAGCAGAGGGTTGCATCTGTCATGTTGTATCGTGTTGTGTGTGCTTACTATCTTTTAAATAACACGCAGATGTTTGATTGTATTGATAAAACTGTTCGTCCATATCATTTGAAAAACAAACAAATCAGTAAAACACAAACATCGATAAATAAACAAATGCTCACACTGTCATAAGTAGAATAAGGAAAACATACCAGTTAACTTTAGAAATTTTGTGCTAGTATCTGTGTTTTGGCTGTGTTTGTGTGTGTGTCACCATGCATCATGACAGCATCTCAGTATAAATTATGATATGATAAAAATCTGATACACTTTTCAAATTTTGCCATTTAAACACCGAAGGTGATTAACAGCTAAGTTAATCTTTGAAGCAAATTTTGAAAAACTATTTGCTAACTCGATAAATAAATGTGGCTAAAAGTTTAAACAACAATGTTGAGTCGTTTTAACTATAATGATTTTTAAATCTGAGTGAACGTGAAAATCATTAATTGCTACACAACAAGTTAAAGAGAAACTGACCACAGTAGATAAGATGTTTTCCAGATCAAAACTTGGATCAAAAAGGAACTCATTCAAATCAGCTTCCGTCAAGTCTTTGAATTTCAATGAATCCTCATCACTTTTCAACAAGCTGTTCTCATCATCCTCATGGCCGTTATCGCTGAACATCATATCCATTCTGTCATTGTTTCCCTTGGATAACAATGGCTTAGTTTTGTTTCCACCATTATCATCCACCTTTTTAGAAGGTTGTGATGAAATTGATGACGACGACATCAGTGCTGAAGATGATGAAGAAGGTGTCACCTGTACGATGGGTGACGTCATTTGCTCACTGTTTGATGGGGAGGATGTTGATGTCGTAGTCGTAGTAGTAGTAGTAATACCTGAAGATGTCAAACGCATTAAGGTTTCAAGATTGGTCACCGATGCTTTAGATTTGTTCATGAAAACCATTTGAGGAGTGGCCATGGGCAGGGCGCTGATGCGACTTGGAAAAACAATGTTCTGAGGAGCTGGCTGCGTTGATAACAATTCCTTCAACAACTTGCAATTAGAATTTGCCATGAGTCTTTTGCTCTTGCTGTTAATGTGGCTAATTTTATTATTAGAATTACTGTGGCTGCCGTTGCTATTGCTAGCCGTCGCATTTGAACCGTTACTAGCCGAAATAGCGCCACCATTATCTGACGGTTCGTCACTTTGTTTAGCACTGTCATTAACATTTGCAGAGTCACTGGTGCTGTTTGAATTATTGTTGTTCTGGGAAGGACTCTTTTCACTGAATGGATCAGTAATATTTTCAGTGGGAGACGACGAATTAGAAATAAGTGACGATAATGAGGATATAGCCGCTGACATTAACGATGAGCACATTGTCACCGTGACAGTTGCTGTAGTCATTGATGTTGTTGATTTATCATCAGTTAGACTCTTGTTAAATAACTTCATGTTATTATCCATGTCGTAGTTCATATCTTTCTCGTTTACATTTATAAAGTGCGACAGAGAGATGTCATCATTGATGAGTACAGTTCCAATGAATCCACTTTCGCTATCGATGTTGACAAGAGACTTGCGAACATTTGATGAATTCGACAGGAACATCTTGCTGCTGTCTCCATCCTTGCCAACTGTGGACGTGATTTCCTAAGGTAATGTATTAATATTATAAAAAAAATTCTATCACTGATAGAATAATTCTATCACAGACAAATAAAAAAAACGAATGAATGAATGAATAAATAAATAAAAAAATAAATAAGACAATATACATAATTTTCCTATAACATATTACAAATTCTTTCCTCCTGTCAATGTATTAAAACCATTTTAACATTTTCATTTTGTTACATTTTCACAGATTTTAATTTGCAACAAACATATATAGATTTCAGTTTCAGTTACTTTATTACCAAAAAAGATGAAATAGATTTTTAGAATTGTGAAAAAGAATACAAACAGCTGGTGGGTGGATTGGTGTTCCGTCAGATGTTTCAGACAGAAGTTTAGACAGGATGTCCGCTTTAGGTTCTGGTTTGTCATCATCTGCATTCGACTTCAACAATGCCTGGGTACATACGGTAGAAAAGTAAACAATTGGTTGGAACATGACCAAACACGTTTAGTTAATAAAATAAAATATGAGAAATACTTCAATACTAGTTAAAATAACGCATCATTATTGTAATAAAGCGTCTGAAAAAATTTGACAGTCAAAAAACGTAATGAATGGATTAACCTTCAGTAGCGCATTGTTCCCACTGGTAGACTCAACTTCACTAGTTAATAATGAACCAGCACCACTACCACTTGCCAATGCATTTTTATCTGGCAGAGATTGAAGATTTTCAAGTTTGGTCAGTATATGCCTGGAAGAATTGCTGACATTTGATTTGAACTTGCTGTTTGAGGACAGTTGAACTGAGTCATCATCTTCATCATCGGTACTACCAGTTAGTAAATTCTTCAAAAGGTTGCATCTGTTAATGATAATTATAAAAGCAACAGTTAAACAAATTGCATATCATCAACCTTTAACCGTAAACATTAAATAACTCAATTCTCTCGTGTCTTGCACTTTCAAATGTGAAAGAAATATTGTAATTTCAAAACTCGTTAGACAACAGGAGTCATAACACATTACCTGCCAGATGACTGCTCCTTCTTCAAAGATTTCTTGTCATTCTTGTGAATGACAGGAGAGTTGGAGTTCTCACCGATGTGAGTCGTACTCTGTGGTTCCTGGGGTGGGCTCTGGTTGGTGCTCAAGGACATGACATCAGATAACGATGACAAGCCAGATAGACCTGACAATGAAGGACATGCAGCAACATTAAGGTTAGTGTTGCCCCCACTGTTCATTAACTTGTTCGTTTTGATTGGGACGATTTTGCAGTCATCAGCTGTATATTCATCATCATTTGACGTCAAAAGTTTTCGCAAACTTTCATTTTTTGCTGTGTCATTTTGAGGCTTTGAAGTGTTACTAAAGCAGTTGGTGTACTTGTTATTATCGATGCTGATTATGCTTGTGGGTGCTGACAATGCAAGTGGTAGTATGTTATTTCTTATATCTAAATTATTGTTATTAGCACTGTTGTTGTTTATCTGAAGAACTTGTTGTTTTTTGTTTGTGGCAATTCGTGATTTTTGTTGAAAGGGCTGACGTTGATGTTGTTGTTGCTGTTGCTCCATTGGTTGCTGATGATAATGATAAACATGTTGAGGCTGTTGATATTGATACTGTTGTTGTTGATGATATGACTGGTGTGTTGGAAGAGATGGGAGAACAGGTGATGGATTGCAAGATTGATTCCATGGACCATTGGTGCTCTGGAGAGCTGTTAAAAAGCAAATGAGTCGTTATTCTTAATATACTAGATCCTGATTGATGCTCAACAGTAAACAGCATCCATTAACAGCATTGCAAACTAAATAGCAACGAAGTTTATCAGTTTCAAAAAAATAATTTGAAAATTTCGATGATTCAATCTGCAAATATTCAAAAATTCAAAAAAGTAAATAAAATTAAATCATTAGATAGTGCATACGAATACACGCGCGCGCACACACGCACACCCTCACGCACACACACGCAAGACCACAAGTGTGTGTGTGTGTGTGTGTGTGTGTGTGTGTGTGTGTGCAACCATACATATGCAATGTAAACAAATTGAGTAGTGTATATCACTCAGTTACATAACCTGATGACTTTGATAAATAATTATTTTATTTGGATGCTTCAATTTTTTGTTGCCTAATCACACATATGTATTTTCCAAAAATTTTAATTGTAATCCATGAACACAAACTATCTAGATATTTGAAAAGAATCCCACAAGCTGGAATATGTAACAACATTTAACATCCTGCACCAAAAACTTGTTGGTACCAAATGCCAATAAGTTAACTTTTGGTTCATATTTTTGTTCATAACGATAACGCTAAATAAAAATTGTTAAAACAGAATGGTTGTTTTTCACACCAAACAATAATCAAAGCAAATTATCGAAGCCATTGAACAGAGGTAAGAAGGTAATTAATATGACGATTGAGAATTAAAATATAAACACGATGTATGCCCAGCACGAGACATGGCTGCAAAGAAGATAAAAATTGAAACCTGTGTCCACGGCAGCAGCAGCAGCAGGATGAGTGAGCATCATTGTGGCATCATGTGTGTGGTTAACATCAACCATTGACATGGAAGTGTTGAGTAATGTAGGACGTTTTGTACTTATCTGCTGATTGTTCATTGGACAACTATCATCATTCACGGCCACATCCATTGTTGGACTTTGATGTTTTCTCTTGTATGGTCTCTTTGGTTTCTGCGTATGCTGAGGAAAATTTTTGTGTGTGTCCGATAAAACAGAACTAGGTCTGCTCCCGCTAGACAAGAAAGGCTGACCAATAACACTCGTCGATCTCATCAAAGAGTGCTGTTGCTGTTGAATCTGAGACTGAGGTTGCTGATGTGGTCTGTTCCACTGATCCATTTCCATTGTTTGTGAAGGTGACAGGAGTGAAGATGATGTGAGAGGAGACAACTGATCAAAATCTTTCAAGAATGCATCACTTGATGGCAATGAAAATTGTGGAGATGTTAATGAAGAGGAGGAATTCGCAGATGTAGGGAATTTGTTGTTTAATCCAGAAGATAACCAATTCTCTCTGTGTAATTGTTATCAACTTTGATGTGTGTGTGTGTGTATTTATTGTACATTTATCTAAAATACCAAAATATATATGATATCGCAAAAAATTTAAATTTACTACATTTAACAAGTTTTACAGTGGGTTTTGCATTATATTCATTCATGGTGTACAAAAAAGCTAATATTAAACATTAAAAATATTTCTATGAATATTTTAGCATTTGAAACTTTGTGATAAACTGCTGAACAAAAACCATATAGATATATGTTGAACAAGATTCATACAGACAGTTGAATAAATGTGATATAACAGCAAAAACAAGTAGGTAAAAGTATGTGATGGAAAAATGAAGCATACATACCTGTAATTTGGCAGGATGGGTCCAATGATGGCTTGCATCAGACCCTTCTCAGCTGAACCTTTCAATTCTGCATCGGAATCACATGGCCTGTCGACAATCAATTGGTGATATTTCAATGACAGATATAATACACTACACAGCATACTCTTGTTTGGATTACAAAAATAATTGCTGAAAATTTTTAACGGTTTCTTCTTACATAATAATAATAAGTTCAACATAGTGAACAGGACTGTGAAAAAGAATATTATAATGGCATCGATCATAGTACAGCATAGTACACTTAGACACTGTCTAAGTATATCAGTTGGGATTTGGAATTTAATGATTATTTTAACTGTGAAAAAACTCCTACCGACATTAAAACAGAAATTAAGGATTTACAAAAGCAAACGAAGATTACTGATTTTCTAACAAATATAATTTGACAAATAAATTCAAAAAGAATGAATTGTTTGTTCGTAGTGTGTTGAAATTGTTGATCAAGAGTGTACTGTAATCAATTGGTTGACAATTGACAAGTATATTGATGTTCATTTACCACTGTAATGGCATGGCTAGAAAACTGAAAACATGCCAATTGGCGTTAAAAAAAGTAAAATAACTGATGCAAATTTGGAAGGCAAATAAATATATATGAGAGGGTAGAGGTGTGGTCACAATTCATTATTTCAGCAAATTAATGGTTAGAGTTTGACTGTGTGGCTGTATTTTAGATAAATACGTCTTACAATAAGTGCTAATGATGTTATTCACCATTAACCAATTAAACACCTAGCAGCAATTGTTAAGGTTTGAAAAATAAATTAATTATAAAACACATCAGAATGTAAAAAATATGCAGTAAAGTAAAAAATAGCAATGCCAAACAGTAAAAAAAAGAAGGCTCAGCCCCAGCTGTAAGAAATTTGTAATAATTCAAGACTGATAAATTTTAAAATGGAGTAAACTCAACTGAAAATTGAGACAACATAACGTATCAGTCAGAAATAAAAAAAATGGTAAAAAAAATGTTGAATTTGTTGATTAAAAATAAAGTGTATAAGTGCAATTTTAGAATTAAATTAAGTAATTTAGACATTCAGGCACGTAATGCAAAAAACAATGTTCTGACAGATCAACGTCAGTCAATTACAGCAAATAAACAAATGAAAAAGATCTAAAAAGTAATAGACGATAATATGTTAAATTAGATGTTATTAAGTGATAAAATTGATTGACTATATATATATATATATATATATATATATATATATATATATATATATATATTATATATTTCATTTCATTTCATTTTCAAAGTTTTATTCATAATCAACAACATATCAAATAAGTGATTAAAAGTTATGAAGTTGAATATGCGGAGACCGAATAAGACTGTTTGTCTTGTGGCGGCCACCGCAGGTAGATACATGAATAGTTAATGAAGTAAAATAAGGAAAATAACTGAAGCAGAAAGATAATTGAAGATAAATAAGTAAATGTTCGTGTCATACATATATAGACATATAACTATGTAAATGTTCGCTCAGTACATATATAAACACATAAATGTTTAACCATTCATAAAGACCATTCATCCGCATCATTTGCTCTAACGTATTCTTAATATAATATTAGGTGGTGGAGTCGAGATCCAGTGTCAATAAAAAAGCACGGAATTTTGACTTGAAATGTTGTAGGTTTATGATGGCTCTTAGATGGGGAGGTACAAGTTCTGTCCAAATTTTAGGACAAATATATATATATATATATATATATATATATATATATATATATGTTACTAATAAATGAAAATACGAACTAAAGGCCAACAAAATTTAAAGATGAATATAAACAAGAAAACATAGAATAATAGAAGCTCAGAACAAGTTACTGCCACTCAAAAGTTTATAACCATAAATGTTCCCAACAAATGCAAGCGCACGTGTGCAAACACGTACAGACAAATCATTTTCATCTTGTACACACGCACGCACGCACACACGCACGCACGCAAGCACACACACACACAACACACACACAACACACACACAACACACTAAACACTTGATCAGGGATATATAACTCGCCAACCAAAACTTCAACAGTTAAAAAATGTCTAAATCTTGTCTTTTAATATCAAAATACACACCTTATGCAAATCACAAGAACATGTCAGCAACACAATTAAATCTTTACAGATCATTTTCATTTTGTACCCATAGCTAGCTCTCTATTTTGAAAAAAAATCATACCAACATACACGTCACACATTTTTATATTCTACAGAGTTGTCGACGTTCAAGTAAATTCAAGTAATTACAGTAATTACAGTAAATACATAATTTTTCAAATTTGTATTTGATCAATTGGCATAGCTTTGTGATCTGCTAGTGAGCACAATGCATTAATACATATGTTGGTTAGCATTTATGTGTGCGCGTGCGTGGGTGAGCATTTGTTTGTCTTGTTCGTCAACATATTTTATTTAGTTTATTCATTTTTTAAATCTTTTCAGTTCTAAGCAACAACAACAACAGCACACGTTTATACGGCATTTTCCCCGAGATCGGGGGTTGCCGTTTGGCTACCTATGATGAAACCGAAATACCCCTCGACGCCATTCACATCTGTCACTTGCCCCAGTATCACGCAACCCCGCTTTCACCTTGTCCTTCTCCACCTGCTCTCTTCATCCCAATCGCGGACGACCCCTCCCTATCACTCCTTCAACCTCGAACTCCAACGCTCGCCTAATCCCGATCCTTTCATCCCTTCTCAACACATGTCCATACCACCGTAATCTCGATCTCCTTATCAATGTCACAATGTCCTCATTCAGTCCCATCATCGACATCAGCTCTGTACTACTCCTATCCTTCACTTTAACCCCACACATCATCCTCACCATAGCTCTTTCAGCCCTCTGCAGTACACTTTCCTCCTCTCTCTTCAACACCCAAGTTTCACCATCATATACTATCGCTGCTCTCACACATGCTTTATATACGCTGTTTTTCAGTTCTAAGCATAAAGACAAAATTTGTCTGCACCTGCTTAACAAGTCATAATACAATTCAATTTTCCGAATTGAGAAACATCAAAATAAAAATAACATCTGAGACAATTAACAGTTATTTTAAAATCATAACTAATAGTACTAAAAATTTTTTAGATTGAATGCATAAACAACAAATGACTGAAGAAGACCTGACGATGGAATGGGTTGACATAATGAACTCAGGATTGCTATTTTTTGGATTAGTGAACAGCTTGCTTCTTGTCTGTACATAGACGTACTTTCCCTTCAGAATCTGGAATCTGTACACACCACTCATGTTCGTGCCATTCTTTACAACTGTTCATATGCAAGTTTATTCTATTTTGATTCAAGTGAATACATTAAGTCTAATTAACATTAAATCTAATTAACATTAAGGGCTTCGGGACAGATTAGTCTCTATGTTAATTTAATGGTACAGATTATTTTTAGACTATTTAATTTATTCCACAATAACCTTTTCAAAAAAACTATTTACAGAAAAAGTGATCAGTCAATATCAAAAAATAATAAAGTGTAGGAATTTTTTAGAAGGCAAGCTAAAAAATGTGGGTCGAAACAAATTCATAAGAATCATTTGTAAATAAAGAGAAAACAAATTAATATGTATTTATGTTCAGTTAAAACTTGTTTGTAACTTGGTAATAGAAGAGATTGCAAAATGGTGACGTAAACGTAGCAAACAGTTTATAACAAATAAAAAGCAGAACATGAAAGGGATGATGAAGAATTGATGAAATATGTTACGAGAAAAACCTATTGCTTCAGTGTAGAAATATCATAGTACAAAAAAATTAATTAAAAAATAAAAAACAAGTAAGTTTAAACTGGCTGGATCCAAGATAACATGAAATTTTAGAAAAAGAAAGAGAAGCAGTCATGTTGGACTACTGGAGCCAATCATACAGACCATTCTGAATTCTGACGAATGGTCTGTATGATTTACGAGCATCAACCCAATAGTAGTAGGAACAATGAAAAGAAACAACAATAGAAATTAAGAACCTTCTTCATGATGTTGTCTCAAGCGGTCCTTGTCCAAGGAATGGCAAAAATCAACAACATTCCAGCCCACAAAATCTCTTATGGTGATTGATCCAGGGATAGTTGAGAGGTAAGCTTTCAAAGAACTGGGTAAATTCAAAATTAAATAATACCAAATCATTAAAAAATTTTGTAAAAGCTAAATGGAACATGAATAATTATGATAATCAATTTTTAAATACAACTGGAACAAATATGGTCTCAGGTCATGAATTAAAATATGAAAAACTAATAACTTTTGACAAAATTATGAAATATTCACATATAAGCAATGGTGATATTATGCTTAACTCTATCTGAAAAGAAGAAAAGAAACACATCTGACTGTTTGAATAGAGTATGATACTAATTAAAGGACAACAACAGACTTATAAGATAAATATGTTTGTTTACAAGTAGCTGTAATGCAAACCTTGAATCACAGTTCAGTATTTTTCCTTGCAAATCTTGTTTTGTAGTGAACTGACACTGCTCCAAGTTTGATGAATTGTTTGAAGTGCAATTAACTTTCTGGGCGATGCAGACCAAAAACTTAGGGTTTTCAGATACTGCAAACAGTTTAAAAAATTATAGATGCTAAATCTACAAAAATGATAAAAAAAAAGAAGAAATAATGAAATGTTAATAAAATCACAATGAAGTAACCTGATCCAGGTGAAATTGGACTATAGTCTCCATCTCTAGCACTTTTCTTACCCTGCTGATAAAAAAACTGAAGGCGAGTTTTCAAATAATTTGAGTCATTCAGTTCTTTCATGAATTCATCTGCAATGATTGTAATACAAAGTACTATAATATCATGCGCTAAATTGAAACAACTTATTCACAACAATAAAATTTTATGGTCCTTAAAAGAGACCAGATTTATCAACTCGTCTAATTTTATTTCAATGTGTAAAAAACGATTTTGAAGTCTGCTTTACAAATCAAAAAACACAACACAGCACAATAAAATACATAGCAATGATTATTTAAGACAGATAGGTTGAAGCTTTTGATGAAGAAATCATTAATATGATGGAAGCAATATAACAAAGGTACTTGTGTAAATTTAATAAGAAAAAATATTTCAGTCAATCATCTGACGTCACATAGCATTACTTTTATTTTTGATTGAAATCAAATGCAGATATTTTTTCTAAAATGAATATTTGAATGAGGAAGAAAATTAAAAGAATAAATTAAGTTGAAGTTCGAAGTTAATAATAAAATTACAAAACAAAGGAGATTCCAAGAATAATTGGATAGGCTTTCATTTTTCGTTAAATAACTTTAAAAATTTGATAGTTCAAAAAACTTAGTTCCATGAATCCAAAATTTAAAAATTAGAATACATTGAAGAATAAAATGAAAGACATCAAACAAGCAAGCAAGCGACCAACCAACCAGCACAGTTGATCCTGAATCTAGTGTCCAATGAAAAGTTTCTATTGTTGATGAATTCTGGCAACTTGCCAGTTTTCAGTGAATCAAGACAGTTGCTAAAAAATTGATGACTAGTAGGATGAAGGTACTGATAGATACTCTTGCTCATCAGTTCTTCCTGTAATTTTACATCAAGTTTTTTAACATAAATTTTCGAAAAAATGATTTTTGAAAGTGTGTACGCAAGTAAAACAAAAAATTATTTCATATAATAATTAATAGCAAAAGCGTAAGTATATGGATAGTAGGCTGACAGAAACAAGAGTTTAAAAAACACATGCAAAAAATTAAAAATTTAAATAAATATCTATATATAAAAGACTTGTATCCTGTAATGTATGTAAATAATTCTCTCTAATGGTCTAGTGCTGAATGATCCACTTAACAGCTGAAGTTCAGTTGTGATTAGAGCCATAAGTTTTGCCAATCCCTTCAAGAATTTTCAATAAAGTCAAACATGAGGTGAGATAGAAAGTTAGTAAATACTGTTAGGTTGAAAGTAAACTGAAAATCAGTAATGAAAATGCCCTTTGCTAAATTCGTTAATGTTTTATCGGACCGTCAATGATTTCAATGTATTGGATCAAAAAATGATTATGATGGTGATCATTGGAATGATTTGTATTGAAAGTGGTTTTAAGAATTTAAAGAAAAGTATGTATGTAAGATTGCTAAACATTTGAAACAACACTACAGATTAATGAACAGAGAGCACTTGACTCACAATTGACTTTTTGACAATCAAAATTACATTTAAATCACAAAAAGCCAATACTGCATAAAATACCAAAAAATTATCATTTCAACAGCAGTGAACATCAAAGTATACCTAATAAAACCATCAACATTTTCCAGAAGGTCTTTGAAGGATATTCAAGTTTTATCAGATATATTTGATTGAATAAAAATTTCATCAAATATATTATATTTTAAAAATAGTAGAATAAGTTGGCCTGGGTATGTATATTTCGTGCAAACAATCATAGGAAACAATTGAATGACTTAATGAGAAAAGGGCTGAAAAAGTTGATGTAGATGCTAGTGCTATTTATGTACTGTACATACATGCTGCACAGCTTTTAATATACCACAAAAAAATTTAGAAAAATCAAAGAATCTATAACTTTTCAACTTTGCAAAACTGATTAGGATTTGCTTAAATTTTATAAAATATGTGAGAAGCATTAGGTCATAAGTGATGATCAACTTTAAAAAGTAAATGTAGCAATCTAAAAAAAAATTTAATCAAACAAATACAATTAAAAAACAACTGAAGAGTAGGCAAACAAAACATCAGCTAGCTTCATGAACATGTTTATTTCACCATATGCTCAATAATACGTTTATTTTAAAAATACATTAGTTACTTGGCATTTACAACAAATTAAAAAAACTTAAATAATAAGCCTTTAATATCTAACAGAGTCAATTATACTTTCAAAAAATGTTTGATTCTCTAAATTTATGTACATTTATTTTTTCTAATATTTTTCCAGGACTGTGTACAAAGCCCCAAGTATTCGTCAACAGAAAATGTGTGTATGTGTGAGTGTGTGTGAGTAGTATTAAAAATGTAATCCAAGCATCAAATACAGCTTTACATCCGTATTTATAATAATTCTAACCAGTTAATTACATTATTAATTATTCCTCTGAATGACAACAAAACATAAAAAATAATTCTAAACAGAGATATTGAAACCGTTTGTTTCCCTGGCACAATATGTCATTCTTCAACGATAATAAATAACAGATAACATTGGGCTAGTCCAAAAAATATCACTTTTTCCAATTTGAATTTGAACTACAAACTGTAGCAAGATCATAAACATTACACTTCCCAGTTAGTGTGCATCAAAATATTTTTCAATCTTTTTTCAATGGAAAAAAGTTTTTGGAGTGTGGAATAAACATTTTAATGTAATTTTTATATCAAAAAGGCAATTAAATTTATTTGATATTTTTAATAAATAGAAAACCGTTTTATTTTCTGAAAAATTGAAATAAGTTTTTGTTATTATTCATTGTAAATTCATGAACCTTATTTAATTAGTCTCTTTACATCTTCACTGAATAAACAACTTGCCTGAATTTTATATGTTGACATGTAAGAGACCATGCAATAATTGATTATCATTAAAAACTGTTAAAACTATATTGATCCATATAATATTTAAAAAATCTCCATTTACTTATGAAATGTGTTAACTTTTATTTTATATTTTGAGGTTGGAAAGTCTTAAAACAATATATGTCTATCACCAGAGCATTTAAAGACAACTGGCACTAGGTAGCTTCAAAATAAATCTATCAAGATGAACACCCATTGCCTGAATGTATCAGGTGACCTAACTATCAGGTTTTACTTGCAGTCCAAATTAGAAAAAAACTTTTTGTGGACTTAAAAATGTTTAGAAATATTGAACAGAAAGCCACAAGTTTGTTTGGGAAATAAACTTTAATTAATGCATGACTAATGCCGAATTAATGATCAAATAAATGAATAAATAAAGCCAATCGAATCTCAATACTGTTGAACTTGAACTGTGATGAAGCATAATAATAACATTTAGATTTTGAGCAGAAAACAAAGAACGAGCAAGCAGCCTTAAACAATGCAAAGTAAGATTCAACGTTGCGCATTGTCAACTTTCAGTATAAACGTGCAGGACTTTAAGACATACACAGCTCTCAAATATGCACAAAGCTCTCTACTGACATTTCTTTGTATGTGAAATGTTAGAATGTAAATTAATTACTGCAGAGATCAATACATTCTTCAAATCTCTATTATTCAGCATGAAGTATATGTATGTCAAAACAACAAATACTGAACATTCATCCAACCATATTTCATTTTGAATTGTCCTCATCTTTTATATGTATTTTAAAGGCACAACTTTGAATGCTAGTACTTGTACTGGCTATAATTAATGATTTAAGCATGCATTCATATCCTTGCTAATTTGAGAAGATTAACATTTCATCTAAATATCCTTGCTAATTTGAGAAGATTAACATTTCATCTAAATCTAGTTAATTATCAAAACCTTCTAAAAACATTTCCTTATTATTTTATTCACATAAAAACTCTACAGTTATTTATATAATAATAATAATAATATAAACATTTATGAAGCGCCCATTCACACAGCTGCTTCAGAGGCGCCCGGAGCCCGCGTTAAAAAGATGAGTCTTTAATCCCTTTTTGAAAAGACTCAACGAGGAACATTGTCTTAACTCAGGAGGTAACGCATTTCAGACATACGGAGCAGCGTGACGAAAACCGCGGCCAGCCAGGCAGGATCCGGCAACGGGAAAGTTTAAGAAACCTGTTGAGCTGCTGCGGAGTGATCTGGTATGTTCATGTCTGGATATGAGGTCGTATAGATATGTTGGGGATTTTAATTAAAGGGTTTTGAAGGTAAGGACTGCAATTTTGAAGATGATTCGAGCAGAAATTGGAAGCCAATGAAGCATTGGAAAGAGAATGGGAGAACTAAAACGAGGAGGTTTATTAAATATAAGTCTAGCAGTTTTATTTTGGATAGTCTGTAGCTTACTGACAGATGCACGCGAGGCCCCATACAATAAGGAGTTGCAGTAGTCTAATCTAGAAAGGATCAAACATCTGCAAAGGGCAGCAGCAACATCACATATAATCATATGTCTAATATGTCTTATTGCACAGAGGTGATAGTTGCAGGATCTGACGATTTCTGATATGTGTTTATCAAAATTTAGATGTCTGTCAAAAGTGACCCCAAGCAACTTGATCGCATCCGAGATAAGCAATGTGGACCCTGCTATGTCCATTTCCTCGAGCTGAAACCTATATGCAAAAAATCTTCACATTGCCATTTCTCGAAACAAAACATAATTCTATTTCAAAATGAGAAATTGACATTAAATCTAATAGAATAAGTATGGAAAGCAATGATAGAAAAACGAGACAAAATGAGTTCCGGTAGAATTATATCCGAATCCTGATGTAGTTAAAGGGACTGGTCCTGCTTGCTTACTATATGCATTGTGTGTGATAAGTGGTTTCACATGCATTCACTGATGTTTTGTGTGTGCTGTTTGATACTTATGAATATTAACATAAAAGGAATGGCTTTTTTGATACACTGAAAATATCTTTGCAGACAAAAATTCTCTCAAATGCTTATCCTTTTTTTGCAGCTTAACGGCGTTTCAGCAGGGATGCGGCTATTTTAACGCCCTTGGATCATTAGAAACTGTGTTGTGACATCTAGAAAACTTCAAATTCTGTTGATCAAATCTATCTCCTCCACAAATGAAATCAAGACTTCCTGGCTTCTATTCTGCAAGAGCAATACTACATTTGATGGAAATGCTTATTCATATGCGTGTGTGACTCTCAGCAGGTTTTTGTTTCTGTGTCTGCCAATTGGTAATATGAATGCATGCATGCCAACAGATGTACAACTCAATAAAATGCATTCTCATTACAAACAGTTCATTATCCAATTAAAATACATACAATTATCATTAATTTCCTAATAAATAATTATATATCTAGATGAGCCCAAAAAACAAAAGAGATAATATTATGCGTAATTATCTCATAAACTTGAAAACTTTTCCACTGAATGATTAAACTGAAGAAAAAAATTGAAACAAACTCAAACAATGAAGTGCACACATTGTTTCAGTGATTACAAAAGCCTTCTATCAGCATCATTAAATCACATCATTACATTTGAAGCCTGCTGCCAACCAAGCTTGTAAAAAACATAGCATAAATGTACTACTATCTTAGTCTTATTTGAATGTTAATTGATTAATTATGTAAAATAAATGAACAGTACAAAGTCTAACATTATAATTTAACATGATGAACTTTCTATTCTAAAGAACATTTACATACACATATAATAAAACATGATGTTAAGCTAATAAAGTTCATTAACTTCATTTATTTATGTTGGAAATAATATTCTGTAATGCGTAGATCTAATGCAAACCAACAAATTAAATTAAAACCAAATGTTATTCCAATGAGCAGACATCTTCATCATCTACAGAGAAAACAATGCATTTAAACATAATTTCATGTGGGAAAGATATTTTTAGTATGAAAACTTGAACAAAATATTATTTTAGTAACCAATTTTTACGTTAAATAAAGAGTTGCTGATTTAAAAAACGTTAATGATTACAATAACGTGACTGCATGAGTTTTTTTCCTACATGACAGCTTATTTTGTGGTGGAATAGTCTAAAAAGATTAACAACTGTTTAGTATGTGACACCTGCTGTGAGTGTAGCATTCCATTAATGTCTCAGTACAAATGCATTTTCATTTTTTAGATAATAAATTATTTTACTACTAATTAAATTTTATGGTGAATGGTGAGGTAGATTCCAAGTGTTATACTTGTAACTTGAAGCAACATTTAAAAAAATAAACACTGATCATTTAAAAGAATTCAACAAACAATTCAATAATTTTTTGTTCTAGTCAAAAAGAATAGCAGACTACCTATACGTATACATCTAACACAAATTATGAAATACATGGAAAATCCCTAAATAATTAAATAAGGCAAAATAGATTAAGGTTAAATTGAAATGCGAAATTATAATCATGGAATATGATGGGACAAAGAGAAAAGAACAAAGAACCTCAGAAGATAATTTTATTGATATGAATGCTTAGAAAGAAAACTGAAGAACTTCCTAAATTTTAAAAAGAACCAGATGTTGCTCACAGAATTCCAGAGGACAAGGAGATTGAATAACTTGCCAATCATAGTATAGACACAGAATGAGAAATTAAAGAGAAAATAACACAGTGTGTAACCTCATATAAAGCAAATCAAAGTTCAAGTTGAAGAAAATATTAATTAAACTTATTATAATAAAATCACAGTAACAAAATGAAACGCTGGTACAAATAATTAACAATTTTAGTAGATTATTATTAAATTTTAAATAATCTTCAAATAAATATAAAACTAATTTATATGTACTATACTTATGTCAATGCCAATGCATACATACAACCAGGTTAATTAATTAATTAATTAATTAATTAATTAATTAATTAATAAATTATTTAGAAGACAATGAAGACAGAATGAAGTAAAGTAACATGAAAAAGATGAACAAATAAAAACTAACAGCTGAATAATTGAGGTAGACACCAATGTTCTCTGATGCAAATTCAATAACTCCGTCTGTGCCAACAATCACAAGAAAGCCATCCAACGCCTGTTTAAATATTATATTTCCACGTTTATTATACTGAAATTATGAAAAACGTTCATTTGTCAGAAAATATTTGATAAATTATTCAACCATGTATGCACATGTTTTTATTAATCTTTTATTCTGGCTGAAATATAAGGGATGAAATTTATTAATAAAGTGTAAACGATGAAAAACTAATGCAGAGATAATTGAACAAATAAAAATTATTGCAAATATTTGAAGGGATGCATATCTCATAATTAAACAACGCAGGATACACATGCATACAATCCAACCAACCCCCACCCACACACGCGCACCCATTCACACCCACACACATAAACAAACACATACACTAACCATTGTGGGTTTATGCATATGCATAAGTACATAAGTATTTAAACACATCTTTTAAAAGTAATGAATAAAATGAGAAGAAAATAGTTATTCAATGCAGTAGATGGAGCAAAGCAAGGGAGCATAAAGTTAGAAGAATAACTGTAGGTACATGCCTGCTGATGTTGATACACAAAAGTGTATGATCAAATAATGTACACTGTACAACATGTACATGTAGCTACATATGCTGATATAATTGAGTGAACAACACATGTGTGGCTGTGTGTGTTGAGAATTTAAACAGAAATAAATAAGTTTATTAAGTATTGATTGCAATTTGTTTAACTGCAGTATTTGTGTGTTAAAAAGTAACACAATCAGTAGATAATATAAATATCTGGGTGTTTACTTATTTATTTACAAACTTAGATAGATTTAGCTATATTTTTATCTATTTCAAGCACATATGATGAGCATGGAAAACACATACATTTGATTCACAACATAAGGTTATTCTGCAATATTTTTTCTAATTAAAAAGATTTGTTTAAAAAAGAAAGATTATTAATTGGAAATTTTTCAATAGATGCTTGAAATGAAAAGATGAAAGAAATAAATAGATAAGTAGATAGGTGGATGGACGGACGGACGGACGGACGGACGGACGGGCGGACGGACGGACGGACGGGCGGACGGACGGACGGACGGACGGACGGGCGGACGGACGGACGGGCGGACGGACGGACGGACGGACGGACGGACGGACAGACAGACAGACAGACAGACAGACAGACAGACAGACAGACAGACAGACAGATAGATAGATAGATAGATAGATAGATAGATAGATAGATAGATAGAATATGATAGAAGGATGAATAAAAACCTGAAGAAGAAGAGGTCCAACGAGACTGTGATTGAGCAGTGACGATGGACTTGGCTTGCTTGATGAGACCTCCCTCTGTTGAACCACGTCCATCAAATCACCACCCCCACTGCCATCTAACAATGAAGGAGGAAATTAATTATTCTCAAAATATTTATCAATTATTATTTTCAAAACACCTCTATTCTTTTCTAAAAAAAAAACATCACCAGCATTTCAAACTTTAAATAAACCACACTTGTTGTCTTTGCAACTGTAAGTAGATCCTTAAATTAAACACATGTAGAAAAATAATTTAACATCTGTCCATCAGAATATAGAACACAACTAATAAAAAATTTTCACAACAGCAGAAGTTAAGTTAAATGATACAAACATCAACATCTGTGAATAAAGTAAAATTATGAATAAAATAAATATTAACATTAAGACATCTCTGCAGCAAAATGAATTTTTGGAAGAAGTCTACAACATGCATAAACTTAACTAATTTATGATTAATATAAGACTTGATTTTTCTCTTTTTACAAAAAATAATGATGAATAGTTATTCCATAAAATTAAATTGCTGAATTTACAAATGATAAATGTATATTTTTTAATCACATCGTAAATGCATTCTCAAAGTTTTTTTTCCTTCACAATTTAATAAATATTTTTTAAAATAGTGTTTTTAATGCAGTTTATTAGCGAACTGTCTGATAAAATGTAGACAAGCTATAAAAAAAAATAAAATTGCTGTTGTGAACAATCATGCTGAAAAGTATAGCCACAGGGTGCTTGTGTTAATTCTGTTTTTCTTACAGGGTTTAAAATTTATGAATTTGAATAATTCCTAATTGCATTATTATAAATCATTTTTAAAATTATTTTTCATATGACAAATTGTCACGGTGAAAAAAAATGCTGAAAATTTTCAACACTATGTACAATGTTAATTAAACTTGATTTCATAACTTGCCTAATCTACTTTAGTAAGTAACAATTATTGAAAAGCTGAGTGAGGAAGAATGAATGAACAATCATAGCTCTCAGCATTGACATAGATGTTTACAATATGACTGTGACTACTGAGGCAGCTTATAACAATTTTTTAATTAGTTGAAACAATAAATATAAAATATCAAAGTTGCAAACTATTGAAATTCAACTGATTTGTTTTCATTATTGTTAATAAACTGGATATATATTTAAGCACCTTTTTCATGAACACTTTGTTAGACCCTGGAGTTTGTGACATTCACACTAAAATACAAGCCCACACAAACGCACAAACATCCCCACAAATGAAGAAAATATACATATACACATTGTATATAAGTTTATTTATTCAATCATCTATTTATACACATGTGCATGCATTTATTTATTTATGCATGCATGTCATTAACCCAAAACAATGTTACAATGTGAATAGTGTCACTTTGATTATGACTACTGCCAGTTTGCAACACTTTAACATTTTAACAGCACATTATATAATGTATAGCTATGTACATTGTGGCTTGTAAACCTGACATTTATTCAAAATTTCAAACATTAAACCATCATAAAATTCTTTCTGAAAAACTATAGAATATTTACAATGCATACACACTTGAATAATAGATGAACATCACAACAACGGAAATGCATGAAGGTTAAATAAATCAATATGTATCATAATAATTTGAAATGCAAAAAAACACCCAGACCAACTAAACATTAGATGTTTTTCTTTGTAATCATTTAAATACATGTCTGCTTGTATTAATAATAAATCTGACAGGGTAATTTAATACAGCAGTCACTACTACAAAAGAAATAAATGCTAGTAGTAGAAAGTACAATAAGAAGGAGTATTCATCAATATTCATGCCATGCCATGATGCTAGGAAGGGTAGCAGTCATACATCTCCTCTAATCTGAACTACAATTCCCTTGTCTCCCAAATTTATGATCACATTTTATTTATCTGTCCCTGCAATATGGCCTTATACGTTTGATACATTCCAATTGGAAGTCACCTTGCTTCAGGTCACCATCTCGGTCATGTTTGCATCGTTTATTTTATATCGAATTTTCTATGGAGAGATATTTATATAAAATACTTGAACTAAAAATGGAGTTTATAAAACCTAGAAAAACATTTCATCAATCGAAAATATTATTGGGTGATATGAAACAATGAAATGGAATGAAATATCCATATAAAAAGTAAGGAGTAGGATGTCAATGTAGAAAGAAATATTTGCAAAGAAAAACAACAACAACATAACCTGCCAGCAGTGTTATGTGATCTAAGCAAATTTTACCAACATAATAAAGCCAAGCTTTTAGTGTGAAGAATAGCAAATATAATTAATATTTAAAAAATATACAGGATGATTTTGTTAACCAAAACCATAAATCATGCAAGAACAGATACATATATATAAAGATAAAAAAAGAAACAAAAACAAAATAGATGCCACGTTAATAGATATTTAGATAACCAAAAACTTTTGTTACTTTGCCAACAACATCAAACATGCAAACAAAAACAAAGTTGTAAGCCTAATTTTCTATAAGTACTGAAAATCAGAATTAGTAGAAAAATAATAAAAATATGTCATATTTCATGAACTATGTGAAAAGACTAAATATGTTAGGTAGAGATTTAATCAATAAAAAAACTGCTATTCAAAGTGAACATTGTGGTCACAATAAACATTATTGCTATTAAAATAGTCATCCCCTATGAAACACATAACAACTGCAGTAATTATAACAGTTTTCAAGTTGTAATGAAAAAAGAATAATAATAATTATTATGGCATTAAAATATTTGATAAGATTACCTACTAGAATTATTGATCAAACACAATTAAGTACAAAATTGAAAAAATGTAAAAGAACATAACCAAGTATAGAGCTACATTGAATCAAATCACTTGAAAAATTCAGATAGGCATAATGCATATTTTTAACTGAACTTCAAGGGAAAATTGTACATACACACACACGCACACGCATAGGCAAACACACGCACGCTGTGTGCACATATCCATCTATTTATATATGCATATATGGCTTTACTTACAGGAAAGCATGAAATATAAAATATTAAAAATATATATATATGAAACCACAAATGGAAATTTGAGAAGCCGAATAAATATCCTACAACTAAAATTAAAAACAAAACAACTCATAAACCAACCTGCATTTTTATTATTTTGCTGCCCAAGATTACTAGGCATATGAGAAGCAGAATCATATGACGTGGAACCGTCATTAACGTTACTGCAGTTGCTGTTGCTGTAGTTGATGCTGTTGCCAACATTACAGCTCCTAGATTTATTCATCAGTGAATCCGAAGAATGGCTCAGCGAAGTTGTTATGAAATCCGCCAAACCCTCCATAAAAAAACTACTGTCCAATGATCGGCCTGAGGAGCTGTTCTCTCTGGCGAAATTCAAAGTTAAATTAATTCACAAACTAGGCAAATAAGCAACACAGTGGGGAAAACACATGAACATCTGCAAGCACAAGTCAAAGAGATGATGACCTATCTAAACTTATCTGAGATCACTAAACAAGTTTGATTACAATCAGCTACCTAAGTATATTCCTGCAATTGATACCATTAGCAATATAACAATATAAACGTCATAATCATAATAATTATATAATATACAAATTCAAAATAAATTATCCAAAAAAATTCTTCAGATTAACCAACAGCTGTCAGTGAATAACAGCATTGTTAACCATAACCATATTCAGGATTTTGATACTAATAAAATTTTTTTATAAAATAAACAAAGGAAAACGACAGTTTTCTCAATCAATCAACCATCCAATCAATCAATTCACAACACATCAAATAGAAAAAAAATATTAAAGTTTCAAAATAAAAAAGTAAATTTGAACTATTATTATTATAATACTCATGCTTAACCAATAAATCTAAAAAACTTTATTTCATTGAGTGTTTAGTGTTTGATTGAATAGAAGCTTATTGAAATCAAATGATTATACATTTAAATAGATTAGCAGGCCACAAATGAATTAAATATCATTCAATTCATTCAAATAAATTGATTAAATTTAACAAATTAGATCTACACTATGAACTGAATTTTTGTTTTTCTTTAAATTTCTTCCAAGTTATTTCAAGCTTCATCAATGACTATTTAAACTTTTTACCAGCCGTACTTAGAGCCTATACATTTTCAAAGTTCTTTATTTTTTTTACAGATCTTACGTTTTTCTAAACTAAAACCATCATTGAAAGGATGAATTTATTACCTGGAAATTGTAAATGATATTTTTCAATTTTGTTTAAAAAAACATAGCATTCATAATAATCAATATCTGATAAATGTTTTTTAACTAAACAAAATCGTTCTTGTAATTTCGCCAAATTCGAAAATTTTATAATATAATGAACAGCAGGTGAGTGTTTTCAGAAGTCAACATTTTACTGACTCTTCATCATGAAATTATTCAATTAATAGAATATTTACTCAGTGGACAGAAAGAAACACCCACCGCTGATGAATCCTTAGACATCAGATGACACTCAAATCAAGTGTGACCTCAACACAAAACTGTACCCAGGAAGATAATAAAAGCTTAAGAATAGAATAATAAAATATAATAATAATAGAAGCTTCTAATTAACATAGTATAAAAAGCTGGCACAATAATGTCTCCTCATAGAGTTTTAACATAAACATAGCCTGGCATAAGCCAACAGAAAATAATTTAATGCAATGTAGTTTAATAAAATTATTCTGTTAACAAATAATATAGTTTTAGTCCTGGTTATGACATTAAACTGACCCTCACTGCCTTGTGAGTGATGTTAGATCATCAAAGGCTAGGCCCACCGCTTATAACTGTGGTTGCGTAAGGAAGGGCGTCCTGCGTAAAAACTAGCCAAAAATAATACTTATGATGACGGAAATAACAATGGCCCTCAGTATCCGGCAGAAGAGGGTGCGAAGAACCTCCGGAGACCCAGTCCATGGGGTTGTGGTGCAAGGCCCTGTGGATGGTCTGGCTACTGGCACCCCACTCTATATTGTGGCGGTGCAAGGCACTATAGATGGAAGGACTACTTGTAGACCAAGGGGTTGGAGGTTTGGTACCTGGAATGTAGGCACGTTGACAGGAAGAAGTTTGGAAGTGGTGGAGGAGCTGCAGAGGAGAATGGTTGACGTGGCTGCATTACAGGAGATCAGATGGAAGGGTGAGGGTACAAGGTTTGTGGGGGCTAAAGGTGGAAGATATAAGTTGTGCTGGAAGGGGGATGATGGTACTGGAGGAGTTGGTGTGATGGTAAGAGAAGAGTTGGTGGAGAAGGTGTTGGAAGTGAGGCGGAGAATTTAATTGATTTAATTTAATTAATTAAAGAATGTAATTGTGGTGGTGATGGTGTTTGGAAAAGTAATAGTGAGGGTGATATCAGGATATGCTCCGCAACAAAGTAGGAAGGAAGAGGAGAAGGATAGGTTTTATGATGATGTTTCTGACGAGATTGGGCAAGCGGGGTTGAATGAGTTTGTGGTGTTGTTGGGTGATTTGAATGGTCATGTGGGGGCGGATGCAGACGGATATGAAGGTGTACATGGGGGATGGGGATATGGTATACGGAATGAGGAAGGGCGTAGAGTGTTGGAGTTGGCGGATGCACATAGCATGGTGGTGGGGTATACTTGGTTCACAAGGGAACCAGCGCGATTGATTACTTATAGGTCAGGGGAACATACGATGATAGACTATATATTGGTAAGGGCCAAACATAGGAAGTATGTGAAGAATGTGAAGGCGATACCTGGTATGTTGCAGCATAGTATGGTTGTGATGAATGTGACATCAAAAGAAATGGGGAGGAGGAAGAAGGATAAGTTTGTGGCAAAGAGAAAGACATGGAAGTTGCAGGATGCAGGGGTGAGGAAGGCATTTGAAGTGAAGGTGGCTGAAAATTGGGAGAGTGGTAAGGATGGAGATGTTTGGGAGAGATACAGGGACTGTGTGTTGGCTACGGCAGATAAAGTATGTGGATGGACGAAAGGAAGGTGTAGGCATGGTGAGACATGGTGGTGGGATGAAGATATAAGAAGGGTTTTGGAAGTCAAAAAGGAGAGGTTTAGGGTATGGAGAAGGGACATGACGGAGGAAGCGGAGTCTGAGTATAGGAAGACTAAGAAGGTTGCAAAACAGGCAGTGGCAACTGCAATGACGAAAGCATCAGATAGGTTAATGAAGGAAATGGAATTTGATGTGAGTTCGAGGAAAATGTTCAAAGTAGCAAAGCAGTCAATGAGGGATAGGAAAGATGTTATAGGGAATGGATGTGTTTGGGATGGATCTGGCAAGTTTTGCATAGATGAGGAGGAAAAAGCTCAGGTGTGGAAAGCTCATATGGAAAGGTTGATGAATGAAGAGAATGAGTGGGATGGAGATGTGGAATCCGCGGTCACACACGGACCTATAGAGAAGGTGACGATGGAGGAAGTAGAGAAAGCAGTTAGAGAAATGAAACTAGGTAAGGCTACAGAGGTTTCGGAAGTGGCGGCAGAACATATAAAAGCGAGTGGGGTGATAGGAATTGAAGTTATGATGAGAATTGCTAACAGTATGTTTGATGATGAAGGTATACCTGAGGATTGGCGACACAGTGTGTTGGTGCCGTTGTATAAGGGCGAAGGAGATGTGAGAGATTGTGGGCCATATAGGGGTGTGAAATTTGTTTGCAATTGTGATGGATGTTGTGTGTGGAAACATAATGGAGGGGTTGTTATTTGAGATTTTTTATGCAGATGATTTAGTCTTGATGGCTGATAGCATGGAAGACTTGCAGTTAAAATTTGACAGATGGAAAAGTGTTATTGAAAAGAAAGGGTTAAAAGTTAATATTGGTAAGACGAAGGTAATGGTGAGTGGGGAAGGTGGGGAGCGAGTGATAGGTAAAATAGACCCCTGTGGGGTATGTGACAGGAGAGTGAAAGCTAACTCGGTGTTGTGTATAGGATATCAGAAATGGGTGCATAAGAGATGTAGTGGTTTGAGGGGGGCACTGAAAAAGATGGAAGGCACGTTCAAATGTAAGAAATGTGTTCATGGTGTGATTAATAGGACGG